CGGGCTGGGAGAGGTTAATGGGGGGAAAGGGAGCACCTGTGTAATACTTTCAACAATAAAGATTTTAAAAAATAAATAAACAATAAAAATAAAAAAAGAAAGGGACCCACAGAAGTGAGCCCTGCGTTCAGGGTCCTCTCCGCCTCTTCTCACAGAGACGCTGAGATGCTGAGCGGAGATCCGGAGGCCGGGCAGGGGCTCGGGGAGCAAACGTGTTCTAGGGAGACACCCCGCGTTTGGGGTTATGACCCCAAAGGGCTGAGCCCTGGGAGTACAGATAAGCCCGAAATAGTTCCACCTTCTCGGGGCCTGAAACCCAGCTCCGTGTCATGCTAATTTCTATAATTAGACTGAGGCGATCTGGGATCGCGAGTGTTCCTAGGCTCTTGCCAAATAAACACACACAACCTACAATGAAGAGGCCTGGGGTGACTGTCAGATGCTTCGAATTAATTTCACAGTGTTTCATCACACATGGTTCAGCACAATCCAAAGCCACCCGACGATGTGATTACAAAGCAAGAGAAGTCAGGGGAACAGACCCGGAGCTGCAGGGGGTCCAGACGAAGGCGTCTACACAGACTTCATGCCCTCATTCATCCGTCCAAACACCCACAATCCACCTCGGGATCCTGACCAGGACATAGACCAGGGGTGGGCAAACTTTTTGACTCGAGGGCCACAATGGGTTCTTAAACTGGACCAGAGGGCCGGAACAAAAGCATGGATGGAGTGTTTGTGTGAACTAATATAAATTCAAAGTAAACATCATTACATAAAAGGGTACGGTCTTTTTTTTTTTTTTAGTTTTATTCATTTCAAACGGGCCGGATCCGGCCCGCGGGCCGTAGTTTGCCCACGGCTGACATAGACACTTTCAAGCACAGAGATTCTTCACATGAAACACAATAACTGGGGGCCCGGCCGGCCTGGCTCAGTGGTTGAGCTTTGACCTATGAACCAGGAGGTCACAGTTCAATTCCCCATCAGGGTATGTGGCCAGGTTGTGGGCTCGATTCCCAGTAGGGGGCGTGCAGGAGGCAGCCAGTCAACGATTCTTTCTCATCACTGCTGTTTCTATCTCTCTCTCCCTCTCCCTTCCTCTCTGAAATGAATAAAAATATGTTTTTAGAAAAAAAGAGTAAGTAGTTCCTTAGAGTCTTCTTTGTTTAAAAAAATACAATAACTGGTATTAAAAACTCAATGGATGCGTCTAACGTTAGATGATACATAAACGAGGACGGCATTCCCGAACTAGAAGCCGAGCCGGAGTAGACATGCAGAGAGAAGGGAAAGGAAACACAGAGGAGAGGGTGAGGGTGACTGGGGAGGCAGGGGCGGAAGGCTGACTCCTCGGACCTCAAGTCCCGGAGAAGAGACAGCCCATGGGGCAGGAAGAAGGCTGCCACGCTGCCGGGAAAGTCTCCAGTGCCCTCGGCATCCTCCGCGGCCATCCCGCTAGGGAGGTAAATGATACTTTCTCGGTCGCACCCAAGACCCGTATAACGAGCCTCGCTGCCATCTGCCCAGATGCAGAAGCAAACGAGGAAAGTTGGCCCCCTGAGTAAACTATTCACGGAAAGGAACGGGCTGAAGTGCGTGCTAGTGATATGGTTTCGCTGCTCAGTGGTAAGAATGCTTTGAATGTATTTTATAGGTTTTACTTTCCTGCTTTTCACTAAGATGAGCCCACGGAAAGCCAGAGCAAAAAGTCTCCTCCCACTGCTTTAGGTGAGCTTTGAAATGTAACTTGCGTTTTAAAGAACGAGACCCGGCAAATATTTGGTGTGCTCCTCAAATATTCTTATCAAACTGCCTGTGGCCCAGAGGTACTGAACTCTTGGGAATGTTTGCCCAGTGACGTGACACTAAGTAATCAATGAGGGATAAAGTCAGTCTCGGGGGGATTTTTAGTTGTGAAATATATGCACGTTTCACAACGTTTCTGATGAAAAGGGTGCCGTTCCCAAGCACGAAGGAGAGAGGTCTGCGGTAGGAGCCAAGGCACCTGAGGCTCCCTCGGACCCTGTTTCGAGTCCCAAAAAACAGGGTTGACTGGACTGGTACCCAGCCGCCCAGCTTCTGACGTTCCGGGAAATTTGATCATAAATCACTTAACTCATTTAAGGATGTCGGCCTCCGCGTCCTGCCTGGTGCCTGTTACCCGAAAGAGTTCATTCACTTCTAAGAGCTGAGTCATGTACCACCCACCCACTCACTAGGCGCAAGAGGTCGATATTGGTAAAACTTTTCCAACGTTGTCTTAGTAACAGTCACTCCCCCACAAACCGAGAGGAAGAAAAATTGATTTGATACAAAGTGCTTCTAGATAATTGTGCACTATTTTTTAAAATATATTTTTATTGATTTCAGAGAGGGAGAGAGAGAGAGAAACATCAATGATGAGAGAGAAACATCATTGATCGGCTGCCTCCTACACGCCCACACTGGGGATCGAGCCCACAATCCGGGCCTGTGCCCTGACCAGGAATCAAACCATGACCTCCTGGTTCACAGGTCAATGCTCAACCACCGAGCCACACTGGCCAGGCAATTGTGGTTTATTTTATCAAGCTTGAGGAATGGTGCTCCATAAAAACACAAATAACACACCAGTGAAATGTCTTCCCAGACCCAACACACCGCAGACGGTCCCAGGACGTCCACCACCCTCGCGGGCTGGCCTGGCGCCGAGGGGCCCTCTTCGGTCCCGGGGCACGGCCGTGGCTGTAAAGACGGTGAATGTAATGCGGGAATAATTACAGAGGCTGGTCCATGATCACAATCATTTAGAAAAGTATTCTCTTTGAGAAGCTGAAATATTTCTTGAAGGCCCGGCAGGGACCAAAGGGGAAAGAAAGGAGAATTCTGAACAAAGGAAACACCAACAGCAAACCCGGCCACAGAGCAGGCTTGGCGCCAGGGCCAGCAGATCCGAGGTCAACAACACGGGAGCCAGATTCCAAACAAGGTTCATAAATCAGAGCAGACGTCAGGCCACGGCAGCTGAGCAGACCAGTCAGATTCCCCCACGTGCACGTGAGCTACCAGATGAACCAGGGTGCAGGCAGCCTGTCTCCTTGTGAGAGGGGGCCTGACCCAGAGCCGGGCCTCGGGACCGTGCCAATGTGGGTCACTGGGTCACTTTGCTGCCATCAATCAAGGGGCCATGTCCAGCGCCAAGACACTGTTTCCAACATGGGTTCTGTAATTTTTTCTTAATATATTTTTATTGATTTTAGACAAGAAGGGAGAGGGGGAGAGAGAAACAGCAGTGATGAGAGAGAATCATGGATCAGCTGCCTCCTGCACGCCCCCTACTAGGGATGGAGCCCGCAACCCGGGCATGTGCCCTGACTGGGAATCGAACCATGGCCTCCTGGTTCCTAGGTCGACGCTCAACCACTGAGCCACGTGGGCTGGGCTCTAGCATTTCGCACACAGGATGGCTGCACCCTCGTTCCCTACCAGCCCACCCCTGGGTCTGGCAGCCGGGCCATCGCCCCTCAGAGACCTGCACCCAGGAGCTGGCCAGCCACCCCCACAGCCAGAACCTTCCCCCGGTTCCCTGTGGGGACGTGAGGATCCAACACCCCCTGACATTGACGTTGCGCCGCTCATCACTCCAACAATCAGCGCGGCTTTCAGTGCCGCGTGGTTTCTTTCATTTCTTCCTGCAGAGCACGCCGCTTCCTGCCTGCCCACCGTGCTTTCTCCCCGCAGGTGTGGGACCCTCTCCTCCAGGTCTTTCTATGGTCAAAGCTGCTCCCTGCTCCACCTTTAGACGCTCCTTCTCGGAGTGCAAGGCCGGGGGGATCCTGCCCGGGGACCCCGAGCCTTGGTTCAGTGGGGGGATGGGAGAAATGGGGGCCTGGACGTTTACACAGCCTTTCACGGGGCTCCCGACACAGGTGTGACGCCTCAACTTCCGCAAGGAGAGCTGCTGCCTTCACCCCGCAGATGGAGAGACTGAGGCACCGGAGGGGCAGCGACAGGCCCAAGGCTATGCAGCTTCCTCATTAGAGGACATTTTCCCATTGATTTTTAGAGAGAGTGGAGGGGGGAGAGACACAGAGAGAAAAGCATCGATTCCAGAGAGAGACACATGGGTTGACTGCCTCCCACATGCACCCTGACCAGGCCTGGGGATTGAGGTGCGTGCCCTTGACCAGAATCGAACCTGTAACCCTTCGGTCCGTAGGTCAACGCTCTATCCACTGAGCCAAACCGGCCAGGGCCAGGTTATGCGGCTCTTAAGGCGCAGAGACGGGGCTTGAGCCCTGATCTGTCAAACCCCAGAGCCCACTCTCTTTCCATCCACGCAGCCCACAGCCAGCAGAGCGGGTCCCCAGTCGGCTCCCTGCACAGGCAGGCGCTGCTATGCAGCCTCGCAGTACGTTCCCCACACACCCTCAGGGCTTCCTGTGGTCACGGGAGAAGAGTGTTTCTGCCTAAGCTGATCTACAAATAGATGCCTCATTCTTTGGCCTCACAGAGTATATTTGTGTCGCAGAGGTGCCCGTCCCAGCATTAACGCGAACTTTCTTACAAAGCCCTAGTCCGCACCTGTCCTCTGTCCCTCCCGTGAACTACTCGTTGGGATGAAATTACTTGGGAGGCCCGGCCGGCGTGGCTCAGTGGTTGAGCATCGACCTAGGAACCAGGAGGTCACGGTTTGATTCCCGGTCAGGGCACATGCCCCGGTTGTGGACTCGATTCCCAGTATGGGGCGTGCAGGAGGCAGCTGATCCATGATTCTCTCTCATCATGGATGTTTCTATCTCTCTCTCCCTTTCCCTTCCTCTCTGAAATCAGTAAAAATATATATATTTTTTAAAAGAAATTACTTGGGTGTATTTAGCCCAATGACAGCTGTTATTGAGGTCGGACATCAGGCAGCACAACTTAAATCTGCGGTCTCGAAGCGCTGGCTCCTGGGTGGCAGCACGAACGTCGCCTCCGTCCGTGAGACGGCCCCTGTGGCAGGTGGTCTGGGCACATGGGTTGCGAGCGCAGTGAGCCTTGGCGTCTGTAACGGTTTGACACGCTGCACTGACGCAGGAAATCCATGGTACCGGGAACTGGTCATAGGTGAAGGTTACAGAGGCAAATACGTGCGTAGGGCAGGCCTGGAATTCGGAGCATTTAACTCTCCCCGTGGACTCTCCTGAGTTTTGACGTGTGTGGGCAGCTTTGCTGAAGAATTCTACAAAGAATAGACTCAACCAGTGGGGTCTGCTTCGTTAAGTGTCTGTGAAAATAAGTGAAATCGTATATAAGACTAGAAACCACGGAGCCAACGCCACCCAGAGAAAACATAGCAGCCGGGTTCAAATGCAGCTTTGAAATCCTAAAGCCACGTGCAATGTACGTGCTATTTCCAAACCCCGTGCTCTCTCCCTTCTGAAAACCAGTCACCCCAGCGTTCCACATCCGCCACTGTGTTCTCTGTGGAACCAGCTCCTTCAGGCCCCAGGCTGAAGCTGTGAGCGTCAATCACCGTTTTATTTCATTGCTTCCCAGCAGACCACGGCCTGTCCCTCCCCCAGTAGCATCCTCCCCCTCCCACGCCGATCCCTCCGGGGAAACTGCCGCCTTTCTTGTCTTCTGTTGTAGTTCCCCCCGCCCCCACCCGCCGCCCGCCCCCCAGTCGCTGGAGTAAAGATGAAGTCATCTGGCTAAACAGGTTTGTCTCTTCCCAGACGAGAAAAACCAGGCCAGCCCCTTCCACGGGACGCGGTGTGCGCTGTGGCCGTAGAGATCGCTTACCGAGTTAGGAGACCTCAGAAACGGGCCGGGATGCACGAGGCATGGTGCCACCTCCTGCTCACCTGCTCCACGAGGGGAGCACGTACAAGGTCTGAGAAACGCAGGTGCTTCATGCCTGCAACCTGGTCACACGCATGGAGCTCACCAAGCGAACGGGGGCCTGCAAGGGTAGGAACACGCGGCCAATGGGGCGTCTCCTGACTCTCGTTGGAACCTGGAGCCGGGAGGGTGGCCCCCGCACCCCGGGACCCCAGGGTCCGTCCAGATCACCAGGGAGGACGGGCGGCGATGCGGACATGGCCGGGAGGGCCATGCCCTCTGCAGAGCTGTGACGCAGGCGGAATCCACCCTGGCCTGGGCACCGCGCTGCAGGCCCCGGGCGCGCCTCCCGCAGGCCTGCCAGGCTCAGAACGCACTGGGCTCTGAACATGCTGCCTCCCCAGGTGGGCCCGGGCACCACGTCTTCCATTCCCTCCCCTGCGCCAGCTCGGCTCTGCTGTCTATCAGCTGCTGTTCTAGCCCAGGGCCTGCCCTTGGCCGCGGAGAAACCTGGGAGGTGGTGGGAGAGGGAGCCCTGATCACGGCGTGGGCCACACCACCAGGCGTCCGCCCTCCCCACCACTCCAGCCCCCACGGCCGGCCCTGGACCAGCCGTGGGCAGGGGCAGAGCAGAGGGCATGTGATCGCTTGGTTTGTTTACACCAATTCTTTGACTCACAGTTCACTGGCCTCCTCCCACGTCCCACGCACACATGTGACGTGTGGCCAGATCCCCTTTCGGCCCTCGTGAGCTCAGGGATCATCTCCCCGGCCCGGCCCAGAGCTCTCGGTGACAGCTCAGGAGGTGTCTGTCCTTTAGACCGTTCCAGCGGGGGGTGTTGTCTTCATTGCCTTCCAAATAGAAAGTGAACTCCACATTGTCTGCTGAGCACCGGCTCTCTGCCCAGCGCCTTCTAGAATAGTCCGTGTGGAACAAATGTGGTGTCAGGCATGATCCTTGTCCTGAAGGTGCTTAAAACTCAATCAGGGAGACAGACCACACCCAGAGCCCCGTGAGAAAAGCCAGTAGTGGTCAAGTAAATAGTTTGGCATAGCCCGGCCAGGGTGGCTCAGTGTTTGGTTCAATTCCGGGTCAGGGCACATGCCCAGGTTGCGGGCTTGATCCCCAGTCGGGGCCGTGCAGGAGGCAGCCGATCAGTGATTCTCTGTCATCAGTGATGTTTCTCTATCCCTTTCCCTTCTTGTCTGAAATCAATAAAAAACATGTTTTTTAAGTAGTTTGGTATATGCTATTGGTATATATGGGCGATAGGAATGTCAAGACGAGATGTGAGTGAGGTGGCCGTGTGGGGAATATTCAGGAAGGAGGGTGGACTCAGATGGACTGATAGCGTTTTGCTTTGTAGAGAAAGTCAGGAAGAAAGAAAACGGAAGCGTCATAATGAAAGGCTTTGATTCAAAGACAATGGGCCAGGAAGCGTCTTCTGCCAAAGAATACGCTAGCGATGCGATAGTGAGCGCCGCCACATGAGGAGGGCGTGCTGCGCCAGGTCCCTGATAACAATGTCACAGGCGACCGACATGATGGACAGGCGTTTCACCTTCACAGTGAACCCTGACACTGCTCTTGGCCTCGTTTAAAGACAACGAGCCTCAGGTTCAGTGGAGGAGGAGCTTGCTCAGCGTCACAGTGAGCAGCAGCGCTGGGATCCCACACAGCTCGATGGGACTCCGGAGCCAAGCCCTTGGCCCGGCCTCATGCTGGATCGCCACCCACGAAAGGACAATGCTTGAGCCCGGCCGGCATGGCTCAGGGTTGAGCGTCACCCTATGAACCAGGAGGTCACGGTTCGATTCCCGGTCAGGGCACACACCCGGGTGGCAGGCTCCATCCCCAGTGTGAGGCGTGCAGGAGGCAGCCGATCCAGGATTCTCTCTCCATTGATGTTTCTATCTCTCCCTTCCCTCTGAAATCCATAAAAATATTTATTTACTTTTAAAAAAGGACAGTGTTTGAACACTGGCTGGTCACAGAACGCCCAGTCAGACCCACGCTGCTGCAGGTTCCTGAAAGCTCCATCCCTGGGGGGCCCTCGTCTAGAGCAGGTGACGGTCTCGCTGAGGAGAGCCCAGGCCCCTGCTCACGTGACGTTCCCCATAAGCAGACTGAGGTGCCTGTTGGCGGGTGTGCGGATGCCGGGCCTACAGGGTTATGGAGCCGCCACTGCAGGCAGATGGTCCCGGGACTATAACCTAGAGCTGCACGACTGGCAGTGAAAACCCCAATCGTGTACAGGAACAACGCTTACCAAGACCTTACAGCAGCGGTTCTCAACCTGTGGGTCACGACCCCTTTGGCGGTCGAACGACCCTTTCACAGGGGTCGCCTAAGACCATCCTGCATATCAGATATTTACATTACGATTCATAACAGTAGCAACATGACAGTTATGAAGGAGCAACGAAAATAATTTTATGGTTGGGTCACAACATGAGGAACTGTATTTAAAGGGCCAGAAGGTTGAGAACCACTGGTTTACAGAGTTCTCGGCCTGACTTAAAACAGGTGCAAGGACTTAGGCCTGTGAACGGGTGATAGGCCCAACCTACACGCCTCACGCCGTTTTGTTAGGGGACAGAGGCCCTACCCCCCCCCCCCCCCCAGGCCGTCCATGAGATGATCTCAGCCGTGCCCACATGGAACCATGCGAGTCTGCTCTCAGGCCTGTGTCTCAGTCATCGGTTCATTATTCTCACTATATGTTGAGTGTCTGTTATGCATGCGTCCCTACTCTGCTCCCCGTGGGATCAGGAAAGGACAGAGGTGCCCTCCTCCTCCACAGCCGGCTCCTCCACCTCTGCTGGCCCATGGCCCCGGGAGGCCGCCCCTGCCCCGGACGCCGCGTGTGGACTCCGAGGCAGAGCCGTGCAGATGCCCGCTCCCCCCCCCTCCCCC